TTCATTTAGATCTGGTGTATTTAGACTGCAAACCGCTACCAACTCCGAATTTGTGCAGCCCGAGAGGCCAGATCGATCTGACACCTAACTTAGATTTAACGAGAAGTGAGGCACGGCGCCTGCAGGAATTTTTAGAGCATGAACTAGGTACCAAAGTTCGGAAAAATCCAGGGAACCACGCCATTAATTGAACACTCTATAAAACTGCTCAACCCGGAACCCATTAAACAGAGATACCGACCGCAAAATCCGGAGATGCAGGAGATAATGGTCAGTGAGGTAGAAAAGATGCTAGAAGACGGAATAATTGAGCCTTCCTCCAGTCCGTGGAGCTCACCAGTGGTCATTGTCCGTAGAAAAGATGGCAAGTATCGGTTCTGTATTGACTTTCAGAAAGACAATACCATTTCCAGAAAGGATGCATACCCTTTGCTCTACATCAATGCCATCCTGGATTAACTCCGTCGGGCCCGTTACATTTCAAACATCGAACTCAATCAGGGCTACTGGCAAGTTCCGCTGGCCGACGATAGCAAACCGATAACCGCCTTGGCTTATTTCAATTCCGAATAATGCCATGTGGATAACGTTCTGCTCCGGCTACTTTTCAAAGATTTTTAGATCACATTATTGGACCCCAACTCGACCCCTTCTGTTTCGCCTATCTGGACGATATCATCGTCTTGGGGGAAATATTTGATCAACATCTGACTAACCTGAAAGAAGTACAGTATCCGCCAAAATAAACAGTACTGAACATATAAATTATATCATTTATAAATTTGTATCATGCGTATATGTTCAAAAAATGCATCATAGCGACACAAAAAAACTTCATAACGATTCTGCAAATCATTGAAAATATTTATTAAGAGTGGTTGCTGAGGTTTTTCTGAGACTTGTTTCAAACTTGAACCATTTTTCCTTCCAAATCCGTATGACCGGAAATAGTGCTCTACTAAGAAAACTGTTTCTTAAGTTGCAAGACACATAATGACGAAGATTTTAACCTTAACTTAAAGTCAACCTCTAAACTAATGCCAAGTAAGCGAAATATGATAAATGCAACTTGCGTGCGCAATTACTCAGAGCTCTACATTTCGGTACTGTTTATTTTGGCGGATACCGTATTTAACCGACTCATCCACGCTAATTTGAAATTAAATTTTGACAAATGCCAATTCGGGAGAAAATCGCTACGATACTTGGGACACTTGGTCACTTCCCATGTAATCCGGATCGACCCTGAGAAAGTCATCGCTATTCGACTATTACCGCCACCGAAGAATGGAGCCGGACCGAAGTCCAACAGACTGCTTTCGATCAGCTGAAAACTTGTTTAACTGAAGCCTCAGTTCTGGCATGTCCAGATTTTACCAGGCCGATTGTGCTACAAACGGATGCATCGGATAATGGGCTCGGCGCGGCACTGATTCAACATGGACCAGAAAGTGATCACGTGAGAGCTTATGCCAGCAGGACTATCAATGGCAATGAAAAGAAGTTTTCCGTAACCGAAAAGGAATGCCTAGCTATTGTTTGGGGCATTGAGAAAATGAGACCGTACCTCGAAGGATATCATTTCACTGTAGTGACCGATCACCAGTCCCCCCGATGGCTTCATTCCATCATAAGCCCAGCAGGAAGGTTGGCTAGATGGAGCATGTAGGTACCTCCAACAGTTGGACTTAGAAATCAAATACCGCAAAGGAGTTTTAAACCGAGTAGCTGACGCGTTGTCCAGAGATCCCGTGTATACCGAAGTTGAATTGTTGGAGCCAACTCCAATAATCTTTCTCGAAGAATTAACACCGTATTCCTGATACCGTTCCAAGAAATCGGCAGTGGAAAAGAACTCTAATATTTTTCTCGATTATTTTATCCGAGACGGTCGATTATATTGACACTTCTGGGATATGTCCGATCTTGCCGAGGATGCTACGACTGACCCTTGGAAATTATGTATGCCAAAATCCGCCCGTGATTCTTTGTTGGAAGAGAACCACGATGTCCCCACAGCCGGTAACTTGGGAATCGCAAAGACTACCGCTCGTATTGCAAGAAGGTACTATTGGCCTGGAATGTTTAGGGATATCGCTCGATATGTTCGAGGCTGCTCGTCCTGTCAGCATTTCAAGGCATCACAACAAGCCACCCCAGGCAAAATGCATCCCTCAAAGAACGATAAACCATGAGCACTGACTTAGTTGGGCCGTTATCTCGTTCTACTAAAGCAAATTGCTATATTGTGGTGTTCCAGGACGGATTCACAAAATAGACGCAATGCCAGCCTATTCGAACGGCTACTGCCAAAGCTGTAAGCATGGCGTTCTACGATTACATCGTCGCCAAGTTTGGATGTCCGTGATTTCTGATAACGGAACTCAATTTACTGGACACAAATTTGAAGAACTGTTGAAAAAAATGAGGATAAAACACCGGCTGACACCACCATATACACCTCAGGCTAATCTAGTTGAACGCGCCAACAAAACTATTAAGACAATGGTTGCTCAATTCTGCGAGTTCGATGACAGAAAGTGGGATGTGCATTTGCCCGACTTGGTCTTCGCTATAAATAGTTCCCGACATGACTCGACCGGCTTTTTACCACCATTTCTGAGTTTTGGACGTGAATTGGATCCCCCGAAACCTTTATATAGCTACGTCCCAAACCATCAAACCGACACTAATGACCAAGAGCCGGACCCCGCCAAACTGATCGAATATGCCGACAAGCTCCAAAAACTCAAAGACGTTTATGAGCTGGTCCGTCTCAATCGGGGCCGCGCGTTTACCGTTCAGGGCCATTATTATAATTTGCGTCGTCGAAAATGGAAATGTCACATTTGTGATCAGGTTTTCAGACGGGAAAACCCGCTGTCCTCCGTGATGAAAGGTTTTGCCGCTAATTAGCTCCTAAATACTCCGGCCCCTATACCATAATTAAAGTCGTGTCCCCGGTGGTATATGATTTAAAGAATTCTTCTGGTAAAATAGTCCGGCATATCCATGTCAAAGATATCAAGCCTGTCCCGCAGGAACCGTAACCGTTTAGCAGTACCCTTCTCAATGCATCCCTGTCATTTGTTTTTAGGAAGCATACCATCATGATCCACAGCCCATCACCTTCAGCTAGCCCCACGCTAGAGCTCCAAATTTCCATGGACGAACCAGAGGAGGCCCTTCAATAGGCCCCAACTCCCGACATCGAACAGGCGCATCGAAGGGCAAGTGGTCGCCCTGGACACCGGAAACTCCGCACTGAACCGAGACCTTGGTAATACTACCGCAACATTGGTCCCCCACCGAACCCGTGTGTCGTCCACCTCAGGCCTTGTCCAGCGTGCGGCTGTCTCTATGTTCGACGACACTAGGCCGGAACGGAAGAACGCCGACTCAAGTATGCCATCCACCGAAGGAAATTACATTTTTTTATTATATTTTATTGTTTTTTTCTTCGGGTTATAGCCCATAGGTTAGCTGACATTGTTCAAATAAAATATTTAAGTATGAATATTTTTTTTGAAGAAGAGGGGGTGTGTAACGAAGTTACCTAAATTTTACATTCATACCGCGAATTATTATTATTTATTTCCGAAATAATAATTAAATATTCAGTACAGTAATATTTAAGTGCGTGACCTTGCTAGCAAACGCTACATTCACGTCGCTAAGGGACAAGGTTACAGGCCCAAGCCGCATTCCAATGCAGCAGAAAACAACCGTCGGCGTTGTCACCGGGCGGCGATTTCCTATTGTACTGCGACTATAAGTAGGGCAGAAATTGCGATTGATAATCAGTACCAGCCGATGCTTGAGTCCGATCAAGACCCAGACACCACCAGCAGGAGCAGTACGAACCCGGGCCCGAGTTTTTCATCAGCGACCAGCCCGATGTAAGCCGTCTCCAGCCATAGCGGTAATATCAGTCCTCACTTTACACTGTCTCGCGCATCGCACCATTAGGTAAAAGCTCACATTTTTTTGGAGTATCAGATTAAAATCGACGGACTTTAGGTAACTCTGCTTCTCACCGCCTGTACTACCCGCTTTTTTTGCACCACCATTCATAGCTTTCTCTCACCGTCGTTCGCACTGTTATAACACCCTCTCTTGCATGTTCTCGCTTGCTCTATTTTTTTTTTAATTAATATTAATAGTTTTCCTTATTACCCTAGAAAATCCTTTCTAGGTAAGGACGTTCCATATATTTTTTTTTCGTAATCCAGAGGTTGTTTGATTTAATCCACTGTTTTATTGCATATCTTGACCTTGACTCTTTTCAGAAAACTGTTAAGGACTTTTCATCAGGTGTTTATACCGGAGACTCGCCGAGTCTTGATTAGGCATCGCTTGTGACCCCTAGATTACCATTCCATCTATGTACTGATTACCGTTTCTTCACTGTAACAAAGCTGCCTGGTGCACGTGGGCCCTCAACCACTTTAATCCTGAGGGTGGCGCCCGAGACATACCGCTGAATAAACCCTAACTGGGAACCCACAAAATTAGCACCTTACAGAACTATACGCCAGAGCTGCACTAAGACACGACCTTCATTTAATTTTACTTTTACAAAGGTCTGGGCTATTTTTTGAAGAGTAAATTGTCTATATTAAAACCATTTTTAACGTACGGTAATATTTTTTGCTTCTCTTTCGACTAAGTAATTAACAAATTACTGAAACAGAATTCGACAATATTTATTAATATAACCCCTTGAATCGTTGTGTTGTTGAATTGTTTGCGGCAGATTACAGACAGAGCTACTTTTTTCGAGTGACCCTTATGTTTCTCCGAATCAGCTCAAGATTACAATCACTTAGCGTCGTTCCAGGACTGCGTTTTAATCTTTGTCCGCAAAAAAGAATAGGCGCGAAACGTTTGGGTATGTTGGAAATCCGACAAAAATTGGGCGTTCAAATGGAACAGGTGTTTTTATTCACGTTTTGATTTGATTTTAATTTAGTTCGAATTTATTAGTTTATTGTTCTTACCTGCAACTGTCATTGGAGCTGATAATAGTTGTGTGTGAAAAGAAGGCGCATCAGCAGACACCTCGCACTGAAATTCTCCAGATATATCACGACCAACTGATAGCAATGTAACACTGTGAGCGTTCGACACTGATACCTGGAAACAAAGATCCCGTTTTAAGTAGTCCGTTTGAATATTGGCTGTTTAGTCTGAAGCTAGTCGGCATTTGTGAGGGATCTTGGTATACAATGTAAATTCTACAATAATTGCAATTTTTGTTAGATAATCCATTGTTAGATGTAAACTGGCGATACCAAAAACATAAGCGAATGGATGGGAAAATACGCACCTTTCCTCCTTGGGAAATAGAAAAACAGAAAACGCACAGAATCCGGACTGATGAATCTGATCACTCAAAAACTTTCTGTTAAGGAGGAAATTTATGTTTAAATGTGATTATGTTGATAGAACGTAAAAAAAATCTATAGTTATTTAACTGTTTTGATGGTAAGGGGTGGTTTGAATTGCATCAACTAAAAAAATACATATCAGCCTATGATTTTTTGATCAGCATTATAATGTTGTAGTCTTACTTTAATTACAAAATCCGTCATTTGATGAAAAGCCTGGCCATTACATGAAACGTCGGCGAATTGAAAATGTTTTCAACAAATCTTATCGAGATTTTATAACGACAGCTGTTCGTCGATAAGCACGAATGAGGTAAGGTAGGAATGGTTACTGAAGGCACCACAGAGTTAGATTATTTGAAAAAATTTAACCCATAGTTTGCCATTCACGACACAATGTTATAAAATAAAAATTATTGTTTGTGCAATGCGCAATATTACGATGATAACATGTTTGCCTTTTATAGTCTATAAAAGGAAAAGGGACTGCATTTATAAAAAAATATGATATTTCGACGGTGATCTGACAATACCTGCTAACTGACATTTTATTCAAAAATTAGATTTTTCTACAGTTAGCCTTGTATTTTTGTTAGGCACAATACGATAGAGCCTGCTATCTGCTATCTGCTTTCAATTAATATTTAATACGTCTGTTTAAAATTTAGATATTCAGTTGTAAATTTATTTAAATAAGAACGGTTTTTTATTCCCCCTGTAAAATTAACGTTTATGCACATAGCAGGTATTGTCAGATCACCGTCGATTTGTCTCCTACATACTAGAAGTAATATACAAGAGTCACAGGTGAAACATCCTAATGTGCTTATTACATAATTCAAAAGCATACGATGCTGTTTCTATGTAATATTATTGTAGATTTGAAAAAAATGGGAGTATATAATGCTTTATTATCTGCGACTCTGGAGTATTACATTTACTATATATTGCAGAACTAGGATAACATTTCCACAACTCACACTGTTTGTTCATAAACTATCATTCTTACATAAAAGAGATTTCTCACTATAAGACTGGTAAAGTATAAAATAGCGCGATGCATTGACAATACTTACATCAACATGTATTCCTTGTATTGTGAATACCCGTGTTGGTGGTTCTTCTTTTGGCACATATCGATAAAACTCGTCATTTTCACGATACCACTTAACCGAATACAGCTGGGCACCTTCCAAATCGTATTCGCAGCTCAGAGTAACTGAATGACCGGCTCTCACCGCTCTAGGTATGTTTAGTTTCATTCCTTTTAGACTTATGCTGCTGCAGATTTCTGAAACAAGTAATTTATCTTTGTTTTATTCCAATAAGATAAAGATCATATAAATTAAAGTTTTGCAATACAATGCCTGAATTGTGAAAGTTGAAAACTAGTTAGTTTTCCCCTTTATCACCTTAGCCCAAGTTTCGATTGTTACGCTTTGAACTGCTAAATTTGCGTCTTAAATCAATGATACACTTCCCTGTTAGAATAATCTCTTTTCCAGAACTAACTGGGAATGTTTAATCGGTATATAGGTACGCATTAGAAGTTGAAACTAATTTGACCAACTTTATGCAAACATACGCGTTTTCAGGATCACTACAGATCCTATTTAAATGAAGTCAATCATTAGGTTTTCACTCATTTCGTTTGGGTTGCCCTCTAGCTGCCCAGAATATAAATTATTATGAGGCCATGAGTGTGGATTCTTATTTTTTTGATGGTTTATTCACTAGGTGTCAGAATCAGAAAAGAGGGGGAAAAAATCGTAGTGATTATATAATTATAAAACTGTATTTAAATTTTCACAAATTTTGTTTGTAAATGTGGAAACTCTCTAAGCCCGATATAATTTAGCAAAATTCCAAATGAGGTAAGTATTCTAAGTCAAAACTTGCTCAACAGTAAACTAACTGGGCTTAACGTATAGATGAATAAAGTTATGCTTTTGCTTAACAATACGTACCGTATCATATCGTGCTGTACTTATATTTAAAATGAAAGAGAATATGGAAGGGAATTCATGTTACTAGATGAAAAGCAGCAGGCTACAGAAACTCCGATGAAAATATTAATTAGGTTTTATGCAAAAAGATACTAAAATTTGGGCTATAAGTTCTCGAACTAGCTATGAAAATATAAAATAATTTTCCTATATATATAAACTAAACTACATGTATAAAATTTAGATTAATGATAGTTCTGTGTTACCAGAAGGCAATATTAAATATTATGTACAAAATCTTGTTGCTACACAACATATACAACATAAGTTAAAATAATAATTATCCAATTAAGATGGTAGAAGGTGGAATGGTTGGTATAAGATAACCTCATAAAGTTTAGATAGACAATGCGAGAGAAATGTTGGGTCGAACAGAGGTGGCATAGTTGCTTTAGTTTAAAATTCCTTACTTAATTAAATAATTAACATAGTCTCATAAGGTTAAATAGACTCAGATATGAAAGTGGGTTTAAGGTGAAATAATTACGAGTTAAATTAACAACATAGGTAATCAAACAAATCTGCAGTGACCTTCAATTGAATTGGTGGAAGTCTTAAATTGCATTAAACTGCGATGTGATACACTCGTGGAGTTCTCCCAATAAAATAAAAAATGTCCCACACAGATAGTTCTAGAACAGTGTTTTTTTTTGTTATGCGGAATTGAGTGAGAATCACTCGCTAGTTGGCCTGTTAATCATTTCCGACTATATTATATTTGGAAGAAAGCTAACCGTAATTACCGATCATAAACCTCTAACATGGCTCTTTTCTATTGAAGATCTAGAAGACAGCAAGATACCGACTGGAAATCGAAGAATATAATTACCAAATAGAACCGAAGCCCGAAAAAAAGAACAAAAACGTCGATATTTTATCTAGAAAAACAATAAACCACTTCAATGAATGCAGCTATAGGCGTCGATTCCAGAAATCTTGCGTTCATCGATGGACAAGGCCGAGAAGAAACATTAAACAAACATTAGAGATAAAAGTAAGAAGGGACAAATTACCATCTTCTCCTTATAAATAGTTCATCTCCTATCAGAGGTTTGCTATCCATAGCAATCTGGACCTTGTTAACTGCAGCTCTGAACAGTTGAACGTTACTGCAACTAAACCAGTCCCTTAGGTTCTTTAGCCAGGACACGTCTGCCAATGTTCCGCTTTCTCTGGACTATCAGTTGTCAGAACAGCAAATCAATTTATTTTTAACAAGTCATTGTGTATAAAGCCGCATCCACACCGAAGTCGGCTTTACCGATCGGTAGAGCCAGGTGGCTTCTTTCGGCAGTTGTGGACGTGCAGATAAGCCGCCTGGCAAAGCCGACTTAGGTGTGGACGCGGCTTTGTAATATTGATCAATTTATCAAAAAGTCCATCTCTAGTGGATATAATTCATCCCTATTTTATGCCCATTCCTAGTTAAAATATTGAAAGTATTCGTTTTATTGTAACCCGTTTTATTAATGAATTAACAAGAGGCCCATAATATTCTCAGTTTGCTCAGCGAATAATTATTAGGGGTGGGTTGGTAGTTTATTAAGTACAGAATGGCAAGGGCAAGGGCAATTATATAAAATATTGGGGTGTCAAAATTCAGAAACACAACTAAAAAAAATTAGCAAACGGTAATTGGTAATTCTGAAAAGGAAAAAATACGGATTATAACTGAACCAAATCTTGACACAGGTAAATCAATAAAACAATCAAGTAAGTTTCAAATTAAATTAGTGTATATTTCACAGTGAGGTCAAAAATCAAGTATTGAATAATTTCAAAGTATAAAATCAATTAGGCATTCCAACGACCTGTCAAAACTATTCCAAAATGACGTCCGGGGAGGAAGTTCATTATCCCGTATATGAGAGTACCAGAATTTAAAGTTTTTTAAAGTGCATTGTATAGTTTTTTGTGACTGATCTGTATTTATTTTTTTATTTTATTGACTTCATAAGTGTTTTTTCCAATTAAAAATGCCACAACGGTGTCTCATAGTTGATTGTGGATGTCGTTTCAACAAGGATGATGTCAGGTGTTTTTCAGTGCTCACCGTTTCAAACTTTTCCAATTAAAACGTGAAAATTATTCAGTGCCACTGTCCCTCGTGTCTCTGAATCTAGAATAAAACCATACTCGAAATACTTGTCAGGATCTAAGCTTTTGTAGGCCCTCATTATTGCTCATTCTGTGAAAACTGTACACTGAAAAAATTATTGTTCATAATATCAATAATAGTATATTGTTGTATTAGGAGTAGAAGCTTCACTTTTTTGTGCTGAAGCAGTAGGTTTGCGAGCCGTAGTGAGGCTTGCAATACTGCTGAAGCACAAAAAAGTGCTTCTACTCCGTATGCAATACTCTATTTTTTCTCCAAACGAATGGGGTAAGCTCGGGGGTAGCTGAATGGCTGAGCGGCAGTAAAAGTACGAACGGCACTAAAAGTACTTTTGCTGCCGCTACGGTTGCCTAGCATAGAAATAGAATTTCTACCACCTCGACAGGTATTAACCCGCAGGATTTGCCTAGCAGCATAGAAATTAAATTTCTGACATCTTGATAGGTGTTAACAAAGTGAATTTTTTTTGACGTTTGGAGAAAATAGTAGATTATACCACGAGTCAATAATGATAGCTATTATTCTCGAGGATTATTACGAACTGAGCCGCGTTAGCGGCGAGGGAGTAACATTCCGAGGGAATAATAGCCATTATTGCGAGTAGTATACTCTACTTTATTTACGACAAATTAATTTATTTGAGATTTTCAATGAACAAATTTCATCCGTCTCATAATTTTCAATACAAATCCACAAGCACTGCACGTTTGACACTGACACTTTTGTGGAATAATGACCATTAATCCCGCTACTCGTCATTAATCCCTGGAGGAATAACATATGTCATTATACTGCCAAAATCACAAATATAATACGCACATTATACATTAGTCGTAAATAAACATCATTAATTGACATAAAATTGATTGATTGAATAAACTTTTTAAATAATACATTATGAAAATTTTGGGAACATTTTTGATTAACCGATCAACACGTTTATAGATTTTTACGAAATTATTTTTCTCATTTTCAATAAGCCTCATACATTGTTAAAATGATGTTTTCTATTGCGCTAGTTAACTTATCCGTTATCGCAATTAAAATATTCGTTCGTAAGCTTAATAAATCATGGAGCCAAGTAGTTTGAGTGGTCATAACAGTGCTACAGTCCAATCACTTATACCTAACGTATACGTATACCAAGTGAGTAACAATATTAATAATAATTGAATCAACATAGACTTTTTGTCCATACAAGTAGGTATATTATAACTTTAAATCATTATATTTGCTTTGTCCATGTGTTATTAAAGATCCTGCAGGATCAATTATTATTTCCGTTTCCAGAATAAGTTTCTACAATAAAAATAAATAAAAAATAAAACTACTGCTCGTTTTCGTATGTACATAGGTATAATTTAGAAAAATATTTACTAGGTCCTTGCTTTTTGATAACTTCTCAAATCAAATAACCCCTGTGAACATTCATATGGAAAACCCGAGGAGAGACCCTATACATAGAGGGGCACGAAAAACTTCCCACTCAGGTGATTTCCGACTCAGGTGATTAAATGTATTATTACATCTGAGAAAATCTGGTCGGGAAGTTTTTCGTGCCCCACCATGTATATTGTTTCTATGTATCCCATGCATCATTTCAATGAAAGAAGTACATTTGTTTAACGTATAAGATACATTAATCTAATGAACAGAATTGTATACGCGGTAACGTTGTTGGTTGTTGTTGCGATTGTCTGTGCTCTAATTGGGAAGAATTTATAACAGAATCAACTTTTTTAATTGTCTTCTTTACACGGTCCTAACAATAAACAGTTGTGAAGTGCATAAGTCTCATGTTACCTTTTCGTTTCGGCTAAAAGTGATCCAAACACGTTGTTTTGACCTTCAAAAACATCACCCAAACCTACCATTGTTGCACGATTGTGAGTCTTTTTCCGCCGATTTCTAAGAATGTCGAATTGTGTCAAATGTAAAAGAACGATTGAGGAGGATGAGGATTTTATATTTTGCAATTGCTGTAAGGTGGCATTTCATGTTACTAAAACTTGTACTGTGATGTCTAAGACAGAGATTAGGGCGATGATGCTTCAAAAGCAAAGATCTGTTATTTATTTTTGTGACAGTTGAAAAAACTCCTTTCTGAAATTGCCCATGATTTTAAACAAAATATCGTTACTGGAAAAGGAGGTATCTTCTTTAAAG